GAGAGGCAGGAGGTGGAGGAGAGCTGAGAGAGAGATGGGGAGGCAGTAGGAGGAAGAAAGAAAGAGAGAGAGAGAGACGGACGTGGAAGAGAGCCCCGAAAATCCCATCTTATGACGGGCTATTGGCTAGTAGTCAAGAATAAGGCTAGAGATAACGAGGTTAATTCAGTCAGGGAGGATGAGGCCCACTTCTAGCAGCTGGTGTGGAGGTGTGAACACCAAGAGAGGAGAAACTGCTTTTGTACTTGGCTAGCCATTCACAGTCTTTGTTTAATCCTGAACTGACGGGGTCAAATTTGCAGATGAACGGTAGCTCAGCAGTTTCTCTGAGCCTTATTCTTTCGCCTGTATATTTATGCCTGCCTCTGGAATTTCCACTGCATGCATCTGACGAAGTGGGTCTTTGCCCACGAAAGCTTATGCTCCAATAAACCTGCTAATCTATAAAGTGCCACAGGACCCCTTGTCGCTTTTGCAGATCCAGACTAACACAGCTCCCCCTCTGATCCTTAGCCCTGGAGAGCTGCTCTGTGGAGCTCAGGGGCTCTTCTCGTTCACTCGCCGGAGTCGGTCCAATAAGAGAAGTTACCTCACCCGCGGTCTCTCATCTCCTGGAACCTGCATGGCTACTCCACCACAGCAGACACCACGGTCACCTTGGCCAGCATTGGGCGGACAAAGCTGGGAAGGGGATGTGGGACGTCTCTGCTCTAGGCTCTGCCACAGCTAAGATCAGCTCGGGCAGCGTCTGGAGAGCGCCTCTCGACAAGCTCCCAGTTTTGTACATCACGCGCATGCTTGCAAGACTTCTGCGAGCATCACGGAGGCAGGGCGGACCAATGGTTAAAGCACTGGGGTGGGACTGAGGAAATCTGGGTCACTGCATCTCAGCGTCTCTGCTCCCCACCTGTTGAGTTGACTATTCAAAGGGAAGGTGTCCGGGGCCAGGACTGTCCCTTCCTTCGTCTATGCAGCGCGTAGCCACTGAGGCAGGGTTTTGGTTACACTTTCTGGCTCTACCTGTGTCACCCACACACCTGCTGGGTGTGGTGTAGTGGCTCTTAGACCTCAGAGAGAGAAAGAGAGAGAGAGAGAGAGAGAGATTGCTCTACAACAGGGTTTCCCAACCTATGGGTCGGGACCCAAATATGGGTCACCATTACATTTCAAAAGGGTCGCCAGCTGTCCCCCCCAAGTAGCTCTGCCCCCTCTTCTCCCGTCTTTGAATTGCATAGGTCACCAAGTCTTCCTGAATTGTCAAAATGGATCCCCGTCTGGAAGAGGTTGGGAACCGCTGCTCTACAGCCTTAGCTGAGCTCTAGCTGCCTTTCTAGCTCAAGCTGTAGCAGCTCCTGTACCGAGGTGCCCGGTTCGGTTCTGCCAGGGGGCATTTCACCTCCCCCCTTTCCGTTCCACTGGAAGAGCGAGACGCGATACCGTTTCTTGAAGCTGTCCTTTCAATTTCTTCGCTGCCTCTCTTTCCTTGGCCAGTTGTCCCTGGGTGATCTTCAGTAGCTCTTGCAGTTTGGTAGCGGCCTGTCCCAAGTCCTTCGTTAGCTTCTTCTCCTTTTCGAGCCTTTCCTGCGCACAAGCGAAGTCGACTAGGATTTGCCATCGTTGGATCACAACCGTTTACGGGGCACGTGGGCCACAGCGTTCATAAGCCACTCCCACAGACCCCCCTTCCCACGCCGGTGAGGTGTTTGCAGTGGGATGGTGCCATAGCTTTGCTTTCTCCTCCTTCCTCCCCACCTCATCGCAGGCCAGGTGCCCTTCATGACAGTCTCTATGTAGGGACATGGAATCAATCTTACGATCCCTTTGTCTCCCCACCAATTGCCTCGCCACCTTCTGTGATGGGGCGAAAGCATTGGCTGGCCCCGTCCAGCACAGTCAAAGGCCCCGTTCCTTCCCGTGTGAATCTGACTGGTGTGTGAGGAGGACACGCTGGTTGTCAGTCACTAGGATCCGAGGGCTGGAAGAGACCTCAGAAGATCAAGTCCAGCCTCCTGCCCAAAGCAGGACCAACCCCAACTCAATCAACCCAGCCAGGGCTTTGTCAAGCCAAGACTTCAAAACCTCTAGGGATGGAGATTCCACCAGCTCCCTAGGGGGCCTATTCCAGTGCTTCCCACCCTCCTAGGGAAATAGTTTTTCCTAATATCCAACCTAGACCTTCCC